TATCATATACATATGACAAAAGATCTGCCCTTTCAACCTTCTTGACTTATGCAATTTAGTGACATTGCTTTCCTCACATGTAGCCAACACCTTTATCCCTTTCTTCTCACACCAATCTCTTGTAGCCACTTATCTGCTTTGATCTCTACATATTTGCTTATTTTCTATATTTCATTTTAAGAAGATCATATAATATTTGTCCTCTAGAGACTGATTTATCTCACTTATATGATGTTTTCAAAGTCCACCCTCTGCTTCTCTCTGTGGCCGAGCAATAGTTCATTGTACGTGTGATCACACTCTCTGCATCCATTCCTCTGTTGCTGGGTGTTTACTAGGTTGTTTCTACCTTCTGGCTATTGTGAATAGTGGTACAGTGGTCACTGGTGTACTTGTGTGTACTTATGCCATTTGCATTATTGCTTTTAGCTCTTTGGGGGCCTGTACCTTGGAGCAGGATTGCTGCATTGTATGGTAATTCTATGTATGACTTTTTTTTCTTAAATTTTATTATTTTTGTGTGCGTACCAGATCTGACTGGTACAGGAGGAGATTGTCCCTCCTTCCCCGGCAGAGCATCTGGTGGATTCGAACCGTTTGCCTCTGGGATTGTAGTTGCAGCTCCTTGCCACTAGGCCACCAGAGCTCCCCTTATGTATGACTTTTGAAGCCACTTCATGCTATATTCCACAGTGCCTGTACCATTTTATAGTCCCACCAGCAATAGATTTGGACATCTCTACATCCTCAGCAATACCTGTTTTAATTTTGTTAAATCTAAGGTATATGGGTGAAGTGGTTGAATTCTGGAGAGTGGGTTTTCTTGCTTTGATGAGGGTTGATTGTGGACTGTTTGGTTGGGTGCAAGCTGATTGGATTTGCTGGGTTTAGCCAACAATGAGCTGTGGGCAGGAAGCCTCTTGTTTAGACTCAAGCAGGACCTGGTGGGCGGGCCTTGTATTTAAAAAGGGTTGGACCCCTACTAAGTGTCCTGTTTGGATCTGTTGTTAGTTGTGTTTGGGATGAACATTCTTCTAAGTGGTACAGCATTGGTCTTTCAATTTGTTGTACTGAAGTAACCTATTATTATAACTCAGAAGTCATTAGATTGAGAGCTCAACCCTATTTAAGGTGTGATCTTTCTTAAACAAAGAAAAACCTATTTTCAAATACACCATAGGATTACATCTAGGGGTATACGGGTTATGGTAGGGATACAATTTCATCTCTGACATTGGTAACCCCAAATACACGCCTGTCAGTTTAAATCTGACTCACACCAACTTTCCATCTGCTTCGCTGTATATCTTCATGCGACAAGACTATCTTTCTCTCATGGATTGACTAGTGGATTCAAACTACTGGCACATAGTGTGCATCACTTGATGCACTGTGCCACCACAGCTCCTTTTGACATTGGTACATCCTTTAACTTTTAGAAATTTGAATTGAAATCTACATAAAGGCAGACAGCCAGGGAGGTTGTGGTGATCAGAGACGGGGGCAAAGTAGGCCCTTTCTTCTCTTCCCTACACTTCTGATTGTTACTATTGTAGAGACATGTAAGTTAGTGTATGGGGGTAATTAGAAGTTGAGGCCAGTTGCCTGGATTTACTGTTGTTTTGGTTGTCTATATGCTCCCCATGTATCTAGTGGGGTTAGAAGATTGTCGTAACTGATGCTTTGTCTTTTCAGGCCTGGAGTTTATTCGGGAAAGCCAGCTGGCCCAACCCTCAGGACCGCTGGTGGTACTGCTGTCCCTGGTGGGTGGGCATAGCCGGGCCCTCAACTCTGGCTGCCGGAACTTGGCCAGAGCTGGGGTGGTGCTGATCGCTGCTGCTGGCAACTTCCGGGACGACGCCTGCCTCTACTCACCGGCCTCAGCTCCTGAGGTAGGTGCTGGCTGCTAAGTGCAAGTCAGAGGTTTAAGTCCATTCAGAGGCACTTCAGAAGAAAGGCCTGGTGATCTTCTGAAAAATCAGCCATTAGGAATCCCACTGAGCACAGTTCTTCTCTGACAGGTGTGGGGTCTCCGTGAGTTGAAATCAGCTCGGAGGTAACTGGTTCCACCCTGCCAGCCTATCACAGAGGCTGTGTGTGGCTGCCAACTTCAAAATAACATAAAAGAAATCGAACTAGCATATGCAACTCTCCTTTCTTCTCTGTTTTTATTCAACCCACCAGCTGCTTTACTGTGTCTTCTCCTCTGGGATGCCATTCTTGCAGTTTCTGCCATGTTTTAAGCCCTCCGTTGCAGTCCCCATGTCAATCCACCTCCTTGAGGGTCTTCTTTTTCACTGACCCTTTACCTTACCAAACATGATGTCCTTTTCCAGGGACTGGCCCCTCCTAATGTGCCCAAAGTACGTGAGGCAAAGTCTCAATGTCTTTGCTTCTGAGAATCACTCTGATTGCACTTCTTCAAAAACAGATTTGTTTGTTCTTTTGGTAGTCTATGATGTACTCAATACTCTTCCCCAACATCACAATTCAAAGGCATCAATCCTTCCCTGATCTTTTTTATTCTTTGTCCCACTTTTAAATGCACATGAAGCAATCAAAAACCTCAGAGGACCTGTGTAGATACCCTCAGCATCAGAAGTGGGGCCTGAGATGTGGGGACAGATGGCAGCAATTAATGTGGGGTGTCAGAGTCAAATACCCCCTTGAGAGGAGATATTTGAATGGAGCCAGAATAGATGTAAGGGAGTTTGACAGCTCACCTGGTACAGTCTGTTCCTCTAAATCCCCTGTCTACTATTGTTCTCCTCACCTCTCCAGGTCATCACGGTCGGGGCCACAAATGCCCAGGACCAGCCAGTGACCCTGGGAACCCTGGGGACCAACTTTGGCCGCTGCGTGGACCTCTTTGCCCCAGGGGATGATATTATCAGTGCCTCCAGTGACTGCAGCACCTGCTTTGCATCACAGAGTGGGACATCACAGGCTGCTGCACACGTGGCTGGTGAGTTGCTTGCTGCCACACTGCCTTGGGCCGTGGTGGTGCTGATGACCTCTGGGCAGGGAGGATCTGCACTGGAACCTCCATGTGCCAGGCTCTGTGTGTCACGCTCTGTGCTGGCCACGTGAGTGCCAAAGCTGCATCACACCAGAGGGTACTCTCACGGACTACTCAGTGTGATGAGGAGACAGGTACACAAACAGAAGTACTCAGCAGAGTAGTTAGGGATGAGCAGAGGGAGCCCAGAGAAGGGTTCCCGGATTAGGGACATTTGATCTGGGCTTGGAAGGATGCAGAGGAGTTTACCTGGCACAACAAACCTGGCAATTTCCAGGCCTAGAGAGATGAGCAGTGAGGAAATCAAACACCGTATTGCATCGGGCAAACCTGCTCCTTAAGACCTCTTTAAAATGCTAAAGAACAAAGATGTCTGACCAAACTGTGTCTGACACAAGCAATTCTTTGGCCTTTGTTATTCATTGTTCAGCTTTCATATACACATGAAGCAATTTTAAATTTCATATGCACAAGAAGCAAATTTCATGATATTTTCAACTGCTTCATGAGAATTGGACTATGAATAAGACAAAAAAATAAAGAATTGATCTCTTTGAATTGTATTGGTGAGGAGTATTGAATATTCCATGGACTACCAGAGAAACAGCAAATCTGACTTGGAAGAAATGCAGCCAAGGTGCTCCTTAGAAGTGAAGTTAAAGAAATTTTGTCTGACATGTTTGAGCACGTGGTTAGGAAGGGCTGGTTCTATTATGTTTGGAAAAGTAGAAGGTCAGTGAGAAAGAAAGAAGGAAGGACCTGCAAGTAGGAGGATTGATATGGTGACTGTATGAAATGGCTTAAAGCATAGCAGGGATTGTACAAATGGCACAGGATTGGACAAGGCTTCATTGTGTTTTACATGGTGCTGCTGAGTCAGAGCTGACACTGAGAGAACAGACAGCTGAGACTCCTAACACAGATGGGAGCAGGATGTAAAGAGTCTTATGACATCCACTTAGCAGCTAACAGTGGTGTTCTAACTTCTGGGAGAAAAGCTGAGAGGTGTGTGAAGGGTGTGTGTGTTTGTGGGTGTGCATGAATGTTCGAGATGTGTGTATGTGCATGCATTGTGTGTGTGTGTGTGCGCGCGCGCGCGTCCAGCTGGGCAGGGTTTCCAGACCATGCCCTTCTCCTTTTGCCTGACCCCATGCCCAGGCATTTCAGCCATGCTGCTGTCCGCCGAGCCAGAGCTCACCCTGGCCGAGCTGAGGCAGAGACTGATCCACTTCTCTGCAAAAGGCGTCATCAATGAGGCCTGGTTCCCTGAAGACCAGCGGCTACTGACCCCCAATCTAGTGGTCATGCTGCCCCCCAGCACCCCTGGAGTAGGTAAGCAATGGCCTGGGAGATCTTGTGAGTCTTTGTGACCTTGGGCAGGCTCTGTCCCTCGTTGTACCAGGCAGAGTGCCCACTCACCTCCTGGAGAGTGGGGAGGAGGAGTGAGAACTGCGGTGGGGGTCCTGATGGAAGAGGGAACATGCGCTTCAAGCCCCCTCCCCTGGGCTGAAGCTCTGTCTGGAGCATTCCTCAGCCCCTCGCCCCTGACTCTATCGCAGGTGAGCAGCTGCTCTGCAGGACGGTGTGGTCACCGCACTCCGGTCCTACTCGGATGGCCACAGCCGTGACCCACTGCGCCACCGAGGAGGAGCTGCTGAGCTGCTCGAGCTTCTCCAGAAGTGGAAAGAGGCGGGGCGAGCGCATCGAGGTGACCCCCTACCCCGACCCCTTCCCGACCCTTGTGGTGCCCAATGGGAGCTGTGCTGCTAACCCAAACTACTCTCTGGAAGTTCAAATCCACCAGAGACTCTGAGGGAGAAAAACAAGCAATCAATCTCCTCCCATGAGATTTATAGCCTTTTGAAAATCAGCTGAGAGTTGGTTCTGACTTAACATTCTGGCTTTTTGAGTGCTTGAAGCAGGATTCTTGCCTCTCAGCCCAGATCAGCCCTGGCTTCTGGGAACCTCCACCTACTCCCTCTGTCCTCTGGACTCCATCCTCCTTACTGACATCTGCAAGTTTAAGGACTTTTGGCAGAGGCAGAACGATGGGCACATCTCACCTCACGTGCCTGAGACAGGATCGAGGCAGGGAGGACTACTGAAACGCCATATTGTATGGTGGGCACCGTGTTGAGAAGGAGCTTCTGGGTCACCCTGCAAGGAGAGAGATTAGACATCCTTGCAGTCTCTGCCCATTGTTACAGTCACTGGGTCGATCTATTTCCTGGATTGAGATGATTGGCAATGTCTGTCTGGGTGCAGAGGAGAGCAGCTTTGTGTCAGGAGATTGTTCTGGACTCATTGGATTCAAGGGTCCCTTTTCTCTCAGGCATCCTGTGATTCTGGGAGTTGAGAAATCTCAAACCATCAAACCATGGAATTGATGATAAGAATGCAGGGTTTGGTGGGAAGGCAGTGGGTAAACCAGGAGGGTGAGGGCAGCCGGGCATTTCCAACCTAGGAGCTGGGGTCTGTAGCAAGCTTGGCTGTGGCTGAGGGAGCGAGTATGTAGTGGAGGGAGGCTGGGTGTGGAGTTGAATGAACCCTGCTCCTGCTGTTTAACAGTTCCCCTGTCTCCATTTCAAAGACATTATCTTTTTTAAAAAATTTTATCATTTTTTTTGTGTGTACCATCAAATCTGATCTGACTGGTACAGGAAGAGACTGCCGCTCCTTCTCCAGCAGAGCATCTGATGGATTTGAACTGCATACCTCTGGTCAAAGACATTCTTAATGTCAAGAAAACTGAAGGCTCCAACAATTGAGTTATGGCAACTCCATGTGCTACAGAGTAGGACTGAGCTCCACACATTTCCTTCTTGGCTGCAGTTTTTATGGAAGCCGGTTGCCAGCCCTTTCTTCCATGGCATCGCTGGGTTGGCAGGCTTGAACCACCAACCTTTTTGCTTTGTGCAAACTGAGACAGCCTTCCTTGGTGTCAGAAAGAACTTGAGGATAGGCAGAGCTGCCCATCCACACCATAGTCTGTCCCTGGGGCGGGGGTGAGCATTTTGCCCCTCAGAGTGGTGGGAGTAGGGCTGGCTGACCCTTGTCATGGACTTGGGAGAGGGCTTGAGGGCCAGGACAGTGCTTCTGAGTGGTATCCAGCAGCTCCTTCAGCCTGGGTTTCTGAAGCCTTTTCTAAAGCTGGTTCTCGTTTCTGTCTTTGCTTCCAGACCCGAGGGGGCAGGCGGGTGTGCCTGGCCCACAATGCGTTCGGGGGAGAGGGTGTCTACGCCATCGCCAGGTGCTGCGTGCTGCCTCAGGCCAACTGCATTGTCCACACAGCGCCACCTGCTGAGAGAGGGTCAATGACCCATGCCCACTGCCACCAGCAAGGCCACGTTCTAACCGGTAGGGATCAGGCCCCTCCCTGGGCAGGGATGAATTCCTGTCTCCTCATGCACTCAGCACACACCAGGCTGGGCCCTCAAGGAGAATAAGCTATCTACTCTGGAGCCAGACAGCCTGATATGATTCTCTCCCCTATCACTTCCAAGATGTGTGACCCTGGGCAAGTGACTTAAACTTTCTCAGTCTTACTTCCTCCTCCATCAGAGGACACAATGGTGGCACTGCCATCACTGACATCCTGCACTGTCATGAAATGGACTAACGCCTAGAGCCCCATCTCTGGAATATAGCAGCCACGTTGCAAAAGTCTAGGCAGTGCATGAGGCAGGCCTGGGCAGGGGCTCAGAGGCTGAGTCTGAAAGCTGGTTAAACCTGAGCTTGAATTCCACCTCAACGCTGAACAGCTGTGTGACCTGGGCAAGTGACTTAACCTCTCTGTGCTTCAGCTCCCACATTAGTAAAACGGAAATGAAGTACATATGGTGCTAGGATATTCTAAACACCATCACTTCGATCATGTCCCTGGTAGTGCAGTGGCTTAAGTGCTCGGCTGCTAGCTGGAAGCTCCCAGGTTCAAACCAACAGCTGCTCATCAGGAGGACGATGTGGCAGGCCTCTTCCATGATGGTTTACAGCATTGGGAACCGCGTTCTTCTCTGTCTTTACAGGGCTACTGTGAGTTAGGATCAACACAATGGCAATGGGTTTTTACATTTTTTTACTATCATTATCACACATTGCTCTAAAACCCTGACACAGAAACTTGTCTTTCATAAAAAGTGTGCCCTTGGCACCATGACTGGGCAGGTAGCAGGAAGTCGCCGATGGGCACCTGCTAGGGACGGTGGGGAGGAGGGTTAGGGCTCTGCTCGGGTGGAGTGTGGCACGTCCCAGCAAGGGTGCAGGATGGTGGCGAGCAGGCCTGGAACCAGGCTGAGGCGCTGGTTCTCATCCAGTGTGCACTGGGGAGCCGCTGAAGGATTAGGAGCAGGGGCGTGACTGGGTAGGACCTGGCTTTCAGAAGAGCAGGCTGCCTGGGTGTTGTGGTAGATTTGCTGTGGAAAGAGGAGCCTTGTCAGGTGGCCGGTGGCCTTGTCCTGCCGTGCTCTGCATCAGTCCTGGCTCAGTCAGTGGAAGTCTGTCTGGTTTTAATCCCTTTCCCCTTTGTGAAAACCCAGTAGAGCAGCTTAAGGGTACACATAATTCTGAAGGCCTGGGGGTCCCTGAGCCACCCTGTCTATGAGGTACACCCAGTGGATTTCCTTTTCACAGCAAAGGAGACTGCAGCCAGGGACGTGCTGAGGCTGTGCGGCTAGGATCCAGACTGCTGGTCGCCCTGACCCTCCCACATGCAGCACTTGCCACGTGCCAGGCACCGTGTCCATATTTCATCCTCACAGCAGCCCTGTCACTCCTTCCACTTTACAAACAGGGACATGGAGGCATGAGTGGTCACTCAGTTATATCTGACTTCTCAGAGCCAGTGGTCTGAGAGTTTGACTTGCAAGCCTGTGGAGGAAGTCCCCAGGTGACCCTGATAGACCTCAAGTTCACCCGTAACCCTCACCTGGGAGGGTTCTGAGGAGACAGAACTGTTACTATGGCGTCTTGGGCCCTGGGGTCCCAGGTCGATTTGTCTGTATCTCTGAGGGGAAGGAGATTAGGTTTTGCTAAAAAACTAAGGCTCAGGGAGGTTGGGGAGATTTCCAAGGCCACCCAGCAGGTCAGTAGGAGTCCTGTCACTCAAACAAGGGACTCTCTTTACTGGGACTTGTTTCTAGGTTTTTTTTGCTCCCACCTTCTTCAGTGTCCAATTTTCACATGCATCGGAAGCAACTGAAAATACCCAGACATAAAGCCACCCTAAGAACAACGATCGGATTTATGGCCTGTCCTGTCCCATCTTCATGATCTGTCATGTCACAGGGCTTGAGCTGAACTCAACGGGCTCAAGATGGGACCCCAGAAATGTGGGAGGAGAGACAGAGGGTCTCGTAGGCATTCTCCTCTTCTCATGGCTGAGCAAGCCCTCCTCTGCCCTAGGCTGCAGCTCCCACTGGGAGGACAAGGACTTTGGCACGCACAGGCAGCCTGAGCTGAGGCTCCCCGGTCAGCCTGGCCAGTGTGTGGGCCACCACAAGGCCAACGTCCACGCTTCCTGCTGCCATGCACCAGGCCTGGAGTGCAAAGTCAAGGAGCATGAGGTCTCTGGCCCAGCAGAGAAGGTAAGGAGAAATGTGGGATGGGGTGGGCGGGGCTTGGTGCCTCTCACCACCACACTATCTGGTGGAAGCTGGTGAGTGGGTGCCCTTAGCAGCTTTGGCAGTGTGTAGGGACATCTGTGCATTTGTGCTGTGTGGCTGGGCCCATTAGTGAGGCTATCTGGGTGCCCAGCTCCCCTGCGGAGAGCACACATTCACTGACTGATCCATTCAGCAAACCTGTCAAGTGGCTGCAGGGGACAGGAGCTCTGTAGAACTCTGGGTATTTGGCAACAACTCAGTCAGGACCCAGAGGAGGCGACACCTGAACTGAAGGTGGAGGAACAGTCGGTGTGGCCAGCTTGGCAGGGCTGCACACAGTGGGCTAGACCTGGGGGTGTAAGTCCCTCAGAAACCTAACCGGAGTGCCTGTTCCAGGGAAGCAGTCTGTGGTCAGCAGCTGCTCTGTCATTGCACTTTTTAAAAGCCATAAGCAGCATTTCAAAGGACGCCTTTAGCACGTGCTCTTTAATGGACTCAGAGTGGAGTTTTAAAATGTGAGACTGGTAACTGGTCTGGATTATGCATTCCTTGAGGGCAAGGCCGGGCCTAGACCAGCTCCCTCCCTCGCCCTGTCCCCAGCAGTGTTCCCAACAGTGCTCCCATTCCAGGCTCAGGCACTGGGGATACAGACCCAAAGACAGCCCTGCCTTCCTCCTGGAGAGGAGGAGACAAGCAATAACCAAAAGTAGTCAGTTACACGGGGCTCAAAAGATGACGGAGGAGCTCTGGTGAGGAAGGAGTGGTGCTGCCAACGTACAGGTGGACGACTTGAATCGGTTAGCTGCTCTGCAGGAGAAAGATGAGCAATCTCTTCCCGTGAGATTTACAGCCCCTGAGAACCCACTGGAGGGTCAGCTGTGAGTGGGTTCCGTCTCCATGTCAGTGACTAACTAAAAGATGGTATGTGCCATGGAGAAAAATAAAGCAGGGACAGGAAAGAGGAAGTCGTGGCCCCGGGGAGCAAGTCATCACGAAAGTCCTCACTGAGAAGTTATATTCCCTCAGACCCTGAAGGAGCCAGGAAAGAAGCCATGAGCCTAGAGCAGAGAGTTCCAGGCTGAGGGGACAGACAGGGCAAAGGCCCTGATGTAGGAGTGTGATTGGCATATATGACAAAACTGCCAGGGTGCCTCTGAGCAGGCGAGGCGGAAACCCAAGAGAGAGGCTGGGCCTGGTCAGGTCAGGACTGAGGGCAGCAGAGAGGAGTTCCGTCTCCAAATGACCTGTGAGCCATGCAGGGTCTGAACACAGGAGGAAGGGTGGTGAGCTAACCTGGTGTGAGCAGACATAGGGGGAGACTGCCTGGGGCACAGGCAGAAGCAGGGTGACCGGATGGAGGGCTACTGTGGGGATCCAGGACCTGGTGTGAGTAGTAGTGGGGGGATGTCAGAATTTGAAGATAGAGCCTACAGGATTTCTGAAGGGTTGGATGTGCTTGGAGAAGTGGCGGGCAGATGGAGTTGCTTTTAACTGGGATGGGGGGGGGCGGGGAGTAAGGGATAGGAGGTGGCATGTAGATTTGGGGGAGAAGATAAAGTTTCATGTTGGCTGTGTTAGACTGGCCTGAAACCTCCCTGAGGTGAGGGGAACTCAAGAGTGGGCTGAGTGTGAGGGAACAGAGACCCCCTCAGGGGGTGGGACCCTGGCTGCACATGACCTTCCTTTTCCTGCCCTGGCAGGTGGTTGTGGCCTGTGAGGAGGGCTGGACCCTGACGGGCTGCAGTGCCCTCTCTGGGGCCTACCAGGTGCTGGGGGCCTACCCTGTGGACAACATGTGTGTGGTGAGGAGCCGGGACACTGGTGCTGGAGGCAGGGTCAGTGACAAGCCCACGGCTGCCCTTGCGATCTGCTGCCGGAGCAGACCCTCAGAGAAGGCCTTCTTGGAGCCCCAGTGACACCGTGCAGACGCTGTGCGGGGTTGGGGCTGGTTTTGAACTGGTTTGACTTCACCCTCCCTCTCGGTTCACCCTCCCTCTCGGCTCCTTTTCCTGACACCTGCCCACGGGCTCTGGAGCTGCTGGCACTTGGGGGGACCTGGCTCTGGGAAAATGTGCTCTTGCTCCACCCAGTATCCTGCAGCCCTGAGCTGAGTGCATCAGGTTGGGGGTGCGGGAAAGCCTCGCCCTCATGGTGGGGCCGGTGTTGGTGTTCCACCATTAAATGAGGGGGTGCTGGGCCTCCTGCCAGCTGCTCCATGGTTCCAACAGCCATGGGCAGAATTACCTTCCTTGAGCTCTTGCTTCTGACTCGTGTTCCACCATTAAATGAGGGGGTGCTGGGCCTCCTGCCAGCTGCTCCATGGTTCCAACAGCCATGGGCAGAATTACCTTCCTTGAGCTCTTGCTTCTGACTCGTGTCCCAGGGAAGGGGCAGTGTTTTCCCAGAGGTAGTGAGAAGGCACGTGGGGGCTGGCTAAGTACCAGTTAGCAAGAGTATACAAAGGGGTGCTTTGGGGCTCCCTGATTAGTTGAGGATGTTTTCTATATCCTCTGGGAGAATGCCAGGCACTTCCACTGCTAGGGTGTTGCTAGGGTGTCTGTTCTCCCCCATGTTGAGCCCAACTGGGGCACCTCCCACCCCAGGGGGTCTGCATCCACCCTCAGATGTAGCCAGAGCTTCAGAATGCTCCAATTCCTTCTCCAGCCTCATTTTCACAGGTCTTCAAAGCAGCCCTGGGACATAGGCCCCTTCCACCTGCGGGACAGACGGGAGAATCGAGGCTAGAAATAAGCTGCCAGAAGCCCCTCAGTTCAAGTTCTTGCTCTTTCTTTCTCTGGGTTTCCCCATCAGTTCTGTGATCTCCTTGGATCCCCGATCCACCTGGGGGACAGCTTTCCTTGAAATTCCCAGCTCCTGTGTCAACCTCTTACTTCCTCCCCAGACATGAGAATTCGGCAGGGTGTCAGGGATTCAGCCAGAGGAAGATGTGGTCCCAGGCCCGGGGCGCTGCTTCGCCCAGCTGCCTACTCTGTGCTGCTGTCCAGGCTGTATTACCTGTCCAGGACCAGCCTGGAGGGCCAGACACCATTCCAGACCTTACTCTTCTGGATATACAGCAGATAACGCCATCTCACCCTGCTCCCTGATTTATGGAGAAACTGGGACCTAAAGAGGGAGGCTGCTCTCAGTGTCACACAGCCTTAAAGTGGCACCAAGATAGAACCCTGAAATGACCAGCACCAAATCAAGCCTCATCTCTTTCACCTGTATTGGCTTACCTTTTCCTCCACTTTCACAATTAACACTGAGGCTCCAAGGTGAACACAGATCGGAGCGAGCAGTGTGCAAACCAGTGCCTCACCGGGCTCCTTCCCCAGCTCCCAGTCCCTGTGGTGTGGCACTTGTCCTGGGGTGACCTTGGCCCAACTCACCGCCCTGGGTGGACAGACCCTAGTGGTGGGGCAGGGGAGGTGCACTATCCCTCTGAAGCTAGTGAGCATACATTTATCTTCTTGGTCTGTTTATGAACAGTTGCTTTTTATAGCAAAATGCTTTTCTAGATCTGTTTTGCTTGTTATGTGAAGATATTTATTTTGGGTTTTGTAGTGTTTGTATTATACATGGACTTTTTAAAATAAAACACTTTGCTATGACTCTTGTCTGAACGTTGAGTGCATGGGATGCCCTGCTCATGCTAAGCCCAAAACCCTACCTTGTGATGTAAACACGAATCTGTTGCCATGGACTAGGTCAACTCACACAAAGCAGCCCTACGGCAGAGCAGAAATGCCGCACATTGTTCCTAAGAGTGTAAACCTTTATGCGACCGTACTCACTCATCTTTCTCCGCAAGGCAGCTGATGGATCCAAACCACTGACCTTTTATTTAGCAGTCAAGTAGGACTTTAACTATTATGCTACCTAAATGGCTGTGTGGAAGATGTGAGCTTTCCTTTGACTGGATCCTAGAAATGAAACCTTTCTGTGTATCTCCTGACTCCAAGGACTCAGGGTTCCTCTTCAGTAACTTGTTCCCTGAGGGAACTCTGGTGACTTAGGGGTAAGGAGCTGTGCTAACCCAAACGCATGAGAGAAAGAGGGGCAATCTCCTCCCATGTGATTTACTGACTCTGAAAACCGAAAGGATCAGCTATGGGTGGGTAAGGGTTACGACTTGGTGGTAACAATTTAAAACACTTGAGCTGTTCTCCTATGTCCTCCATGAAACTCGGCTCCCAATATCCTTTTCATCCTCATCTTCCAGCACCTGGCACAGAGAGGATGTTTATGGAGTTGGATAGAGCCGGATACTTCTGGGAAAGGTCTTGATCTGTTCTACAAAAGGTCACTATGTGTTGTTGTGACGCTAGGCACCTGACAACTTCTGTAATGAGCACCATGTCTATGATCATTGTCCATGACTTGAAGTTAAGACCCTCAGACCTTTGTCAAGTGTAATTATCCCCCTTCGGTAATTATCCCCCCAGTGTCCTGCTCCCCACTACATGACTGGAAAATGTGGACATCTTAAGCAAGGGCTCTCTATATAGCCTGTATCATATCTGCAAAAGAAAAATACATTTACATTGTATTTTCTCATACATTTGGTGCCTTACACGGGCAGTGTTTAAGAGCTGACAGACGCTGATGGCTCTGAATGCCAGAAAAGAGCCGTACATCTCTGGTTGCTGATTTGTGCCTGTTGTGATACCAGACATGTGCACAGAATCAAGTGTCAGTCTGATAGCCCCACACTGACAGCTTTGTGACTTGAGAAGGGAACAAGCTGGCTCTTGCAGATGGCTGGCAGGTGCCACTGTCAGGGGATGGGGAAGGGACATGCATGGGCTCCGGAAGAGGAAGAGCTGGACCAGCAAACACCCCAGGGCAGAGCCAACCACGTGAGCACAGGTAGGACGTTGGGAATGAGGTGAGACACAGACTGAGCATGACACCCAACTTGGCAGGGCTCGTCACTCCTGTGGGGACTAGTTTCAAGGGACTTGAAAATTGTAGGCCACCAGCCAGTATGGCTTCCTTGTCCAAGGTTTGCATGTTGACGCTTTAAAATATCAGATTACTTAGAAGAAAGAATAGCACCAGGCTTGGAAACCCACAGACCTCCCTGTTATTAAAGCAGATCCGATTCACACCCTTACAGCAAAGTTCTAACAGCACCATTTGACACTATCCCACAGGCCCAGGCAGAGCCCATCCCATGGCTGTATTCTGCTATGTGGAGAAAAATGTTGGTGAGACTCGTTACATATTTTTGAAAAATTTATTTTATGCTTCTAGTAGCTAAGAACTCTGCCACCTGTGACCCAGACTGAATTCTAGAATTAAGATTCTTCCCTAGTTTACCTACTTTGGAAATTTTATAAACAAGATCTGTACACAAGAGGTAGCAGCAGCACACTCCAGTCTGCTTGTTCCAGGCTCAAAAGGTTAACTACACACACCTCAGTGTTAGCGGGGAGAGTGGGGCAAGACAGGGCAGTCAGACGGCAAGATGCTGTGTGTCCTACGATTTATCGTACTTGTGCATGACCACGGGGGCAGCCCCGGGAGTCACGCAGGATACCCACGGGGATGCTCCCTCATTCTTTCCCAGGAAGGCCCACGCTCAGGGAGGGCCTCCGCTAAAGTAGCTTGTTGAGAACACGCAGCATTTAATTAATTGTGCAATTCCTGCTCAATTTGCAAACAGTTGTAAAAGGTTTATAAAAACATCTTCATAAAAAAACTTGGCGGGTTAAAAATGACAACTCTTCCCAGGTAAGCCTGTTGTAATCGTCACTTTGTGGAACCACATTTAAAAGAAAGTCATCAGCGGTTCACAGACGGCAGCCATTTGTCAACCAGGTTGTGACTGGCAATGTGGAAACTTTTCATTGCAGGGACAACATGAATAAAACTAAGCAAAGTGCAACCTACACAGCAGTGAGGAACAGTTCTGATGCAGCTTTAAAAGCAGGCCAGCAGCTGCCAGGGGCCGCGGAAGGTGCCATTTACATAGGAAACGAGGGGAGTGACAAGTGGTGGGTCTGGTCTTCTGAGAGTACCACCGATAGTTAACGAGATCCCACAACATACCACCACGGTCATTTCACTGTCATGTTTTCACATAATCTTTTTATGAGGATAGGGATGGAATGGAGGGTGAGGCTAGGCTATGAAAAACAGCAGAGAATGGGATCTTTATGGGCTCAGAGGCAATTCTGACACACCACATTTGACATTCTGGGAACATCAGAACCATGTAAAATTTGTCACCTGCATGCCTGCTCCTCAGAGGACACAGTTCTGCTCGTAAATGCTGGTCCATCCTCCCATCCAGCGTATCTGACAACAGCCCCCATCAGCCTGCACAAGTTACAGAACCACAAACCAGAGCCGAGTGCAGAGCAGTTCTTCAGGAGATGGCTGGCGCGGAGCAAGGGCACAGCACTGCAGAGCTGTCTGTCCTGTCCTGTCCCCTGTCCATACAAAACGCAAAAGCAACCAAAAAGGCACTTGGAGCTGACTGCGCCTCTTTGTCTTGGCAAATCTAAATGACAGTGGCATCTGGCACTTCTTAAGGCTCCCCTAGTTCTGTGCATGGCAAGTTGAAAATAAGGCAGAAGACTTAACTAAAGGCAAAACAGGGCTGAAATTCTGTGTGTGCAACTCAAAATACCAATGTACAAAATTCATTAAATATAATGGCATCAGCCCCCCATCCAACCCCCAAGCCCAAAAGCGCTTGATTTTAACCTGAAATGAGTGAATGGTGTAGCTACACTTGGGGAACACAATTAAACGGTGTTGGTTCGATTACTTTTCTGGTTATTTCTGGGGAAATAAGCAATAAGTCTTGTCCCTGTCTTTTCAGTGTTAGTGAGGAGAAATACTCTGAAATTCCTCCAGTGTGTTAACATTATTGACACACAGTGCTGTCTCCCAATCTAAATATTTAACTCTGTATATAGACAATATCAAGGGTTTCCATAACCAAGGGTTTGTCATAAGCAAAAGCAAATGATTCCAGATCACATGGTCTAAGACCACAGTTTATTCAATATGTCTCCAAGCATTAAAAAGATAATTCCATGAAGTCAAACCGCAATAAAATTGTATTTTAAAGTGCTTTTTATTTTGGTATTTTTAAAATTTGTTTGGGAGCAACTCATAACTTCTTTAGAGACTGATGTTAAAAGAATGCACCCTGTACTTCTGGAGAACACATCATTATTTTTTATTGCTCTTTTCAATCTCAATTATATCAGAAAAATGGCATAAAAGAGCTTAATAATTTCCAAATTTTGATTCTAATAACATTTCACTGAGATCCAAGCTTATGTCCAGAGCTTTCCTCCAAACCCTTCAGAAATTCTGTACAAACAAGGAGACATATTAAATACAAAGGTCTGTGTAAACTGAATTCTTCTTCTACTATTTTACAATGAAAATGAATTTTATCACATATCTTTACATCATTTTAAATTTGATAATCCTATTGAACATTATGGCAAGATTAAAAATTTGCCCCCCCCACATCTAAAGGCAACTTGCTATTTTTTTTTTGTTTTCTTTCTTTTTAAATATAAAAATCAAAGGATTTTTTTTCTTGTAGCATCATAGAGAAAGCAACAGCTTTACCCTCACTCCTGTGTGTTTTTGTAACAAAAAAGTCGGCCATCAGCTTTATTTCCTAAAATTGCCACAAAAATGTTAATCCACACACGGACTGTCCCCCGGGACAGCTGATCCACATGCCGGAGCACTCCAGCTGCCAAACAGCTCCCAAACCTTCTAACGGCCTAAGAAGTTCTTTTAAAAACTTGGCCTTCCAAGGTCTTCGAAGGTTCTCCCAGTTCAATCCCCAGGCTCTTCTAAAGGTCTGAAGGATGGGACTCTGATTTCACGAAGTAGTCGCACATGCCCCACTAGGCTGATTCCTCATCTCGACTGGGTTTGCTCCTTTAAGGATCTACGTCATCAAGGTCACCTCGTAACTCGCCAATCATCATGGGCGACTCGGAGCCCTGGAGAATAAAGGGAAGTTAAAATCATATACTGCATGTCAGAGCGAGTGGAGTGCGCTTCCCTATGCTGAGTAACTTTATCTGTGTTATATAATTCACACGTTCACAGTTAACACAGTGTATCAAAGGGTGATAAACAACTGTGTGTTTGGCAACTCATGATTATGTACAACATTCTCCACTTCTAAGATCTCATGCAGCCACTGAAACAATCAAGAGACTTGCCTAAAGTGCTGACACCACTAGAGGTGAGCAGAGATGGGGCAGAGGGGCAGGCTGCTGCGATCTGCTGAGCCCAGGCCTGGGCCACTCCCGGTCAGTATCCTGCCACTAACTGTGTGGCCTACCACCTGCCTTGAGGCTAGCTGTGTGTGTGGGTGGGCTGGGAAAGAGAGGAAGCGCAGGGAAACAGTATAAATGACATGTCAGCTGGAGGGGGTCTTCCATAGATCCAGAAATGGCAGGTGGATGGGGAAAGATGGGAGGGGAGTAAAAGACCTCCAACTTGAGGACTGGAGTCAGGGACTGCAGGGCGCTGGATGACAGGCAAGCATTTAGGAGCAGATTCTGAAATAAGGAACAGTGAGGAGGGCAGCTTTGGTGGGGATGGGTGGGATAAGCTGTGTTTGAGGTGTCTGAGACATGAAGAAGAGAGCTGCTATTGAGGTCTGGAGCTTGGAAGAAATGAAGGCTGGTGTGGCTGAAGACTGAGCGGGAAGAGATTGAGAAAGGACAGCCAGAGGGCTGGAGGAGGAGCAGGGGAACAAGGTGGCATGGAAGCCTGGGCAGGTGTCTCAAAAGGGAGGCGTGGTCAGCAGTGCCAGGTTCTACCAAGTGGTCAGCTGGAACGACCAAAAACATGGTCCACTTGTTAGCTGGAGGGTAAAGAGAGGGAAGGAGGCTGAAGAGACAGAAGGATGAGTGAGAGACCACACTGGAGATTTCTAGAAGTCTTCTGAGATGTTTGGCTGTGAAGAAGTGGGAGGAGGGCAAAGGATGAGAAGTCATTTTCTAAAAGGCAGGACAGGAGACAGTGTTGAGATGCTGCTGGGAAGAGGAGGTTCAAATACTGAAGAGCCCACTGCCATTGAGCTGGTTTTGATTTATAGCAACTCTTATGAGATAATGAAGGGAGTGAAAAAAGGAGGCGAGTTTTCCGAAGAACTATGAGGGCAGGAGGCCTAGGATGGCAGGAGGGATCGCACCCCAACTGTTAAGAGGAAAGATGCAGACATGACAAAGGCATAAGCGTTAAGTGTGGAAGCCAGCACAGGCCTGACTCTTTGATAACCTACGATAACCTACTCTCTCTGTAAATAAAGCAGATGATAAAGTAAATCGATAAGCGACCTTGGTTTAGATGTTATCAGTAATGCTGAGTCTCAGTTTCTATTCTGTAAAATCATAACAGCAGAGTCTTAGTTTCTATTCTGTAATAACCACCTTGCCAGGCTGTCATAAGGATCCCACAGAAAACATTTTTTAAAAGGTGCATATGGCATCATCCACTGATGGGGCCTGCTCCGTGCCAGGCGCTGTGTTGGTGCTCCCAACGAGGCTCTCGGGGAAGGAGCATCGTGGCTACACTGATGCTTTCACTTCATTAGTTTACATACAGCAGGTGTTCAGCAAATATTTCTTTGCTTTTTCTATGACAGTAATCAGTATTAAAAGCTAGGGTTGTTGTTTTTAAATTTCAAATTAAGTTGGTTTAATTCCAGGTAGTACAGAATTCTGGGTGTAAGCAACACTTGAAGAGCAGACTCTGACCGGATTCTGGCCTGCGTTTACTTTGCACAGCCAAGACAGGAAGGGCCGAGCAAGAAGAACTGAAGAGAAGAACCATCAAAGGGTTTCCTTTTCTCCATTCTTCTTAAAAGTACAATGGGCTCCAAGACAGCACTTCATCCTAACTACCAGTGGCAAAGGAGCGATAGCAGAGAATCCAGATGATCTGAGCAAGAATGGAAGTAAGATTCATCTTTACCTCAGTCACAAAGAACAGCGTATTATTTTTTGCCATATTTCTTAATTCTACTCATTTGCCTGTGGCCTTCGTTTTTAGCACCTGAGCGTCTTCTGTTTCTGCCTGAAAGCTTTGTCTTCTCTGTCTACTTCTTGGGTGGCTGCAGGGGCTTCTTGTCACTTTTGTGGCCTAACATGGTGCTTGCTGTCCCTTGCTCAGACCTGCCACAAAACCCACAAATCTTTATTTTTTAAAAAACAGTAAATTTTAATTTTTTCTTTGATTTCTGACAAGCAGGAGTATGTTAGCAGCATGGGGCCCCTCCTGTCAAAGGCCCAGGATTCCAGGAAGGCTGGTGAGACAGAAAAGGGACAGCGTGGAGAGTGTGGTTTGAGATGAACTGGCAGAGTGAGCTGAGCAAGTCCAGATCATCTCATCTGTGGCTTGGCTTTGCCACAACCATTCCCTAGCTGATTCTGATGAGAACACCCAGCCGGAGCACAGCTAGAGCCCTGTGCTAATGTTACACTGCTAGACTCGACAATGCACTGCCAGGGGGTCCCAGCTTGAGATTTCAGTTCATTAACAGCAACAGTCGACAGGTCACAGGGTATCCACCCAGGAAACTGACTACAGGTGGAGCTGGTGGCTCTTCACATGCACACTCCAGAGGAGACGTGGGAAGTCTTTACGGAAAACCTAAGAGCGGGTGCACCCCTTTCGCACACCCACATACCCGACAGCTATACCTGCTGTAAATGCCTCTCTCCATTCTCATTGGCAGGGCTGCTCTCCGACCCATTACTGCTTCCTGATTGCTCTTTTTCATTCAACAAAGCAGTGGCATATGCTAATGTGTCCTGTAGGAGGTTTACACACAAGAACAAAAAGTTAGTGGGTACTCAAAAGTAGCAGCAATTCACAGAAAGGATGAGCACTCCCTTTATCAGTGTCACAGCTGCGCCCAGGCTCAGCCCTAGACCCACCATAGGCCCTTTTCTCCTGAGTAAGTGATACGCATAGATTTGCCCAAGTGTAAAACAGTCTGCTGTCTTCTCATAGATGCAATGTTCTAACAGGAGGGTTGTCTCCTATGTTGTCTCATTTTCAATCTGTTATTGTTGTTGTTGTTCTTAATTGCTGTAGAGTCATAGACAACTCATAGCAACCGTATGAACACCTGTATAACTTGTATAACTTACATCTTCTCTCCAGGTTCATAGGGTTTCTGAGACAAGCTATTTCGGAAGTGGATGCCACTCCTGATTCCAAGCTTGTTTTAATTGGGGAGCTCCACCAAACACTGTCAACCATGGGTAACCATTATCAAATCTGACACATTAGTGTCACAGTGTTTAGCATCACAGCAACCACGAGTTACCTCTGTACAGCAATGCACAGACCAGTGCTATGCCACTTAGAAGAATGTTTGACCAAAAAGAATTAAAACCAGGCCTGAGGGCCGCGGATTAAAATCATTCACCTTTGGCTTGGTAGCATCATTTTCTGTCCATTAGACCAACTGAGCTCTCTCTCTGTTGTTAAGTGTCGTTGTGTCATAGACTCATAGCGACCCTATGAACGAAAGACCTGAACACTTGTATAACTTTCATTGATTCTCCAAGTTCACAGGGTTTCTGAAGGCAAGCTATCTAGATGTCTATTTTTTGAGGCTGCAATTCCTAAAAAGCATACTGAAAATTCTTGCAAGGGGTTTCAAACCATACCAAACAGAAAACAATCCTCACCTGAGCGGAAATTGTTCGCTGAAAGGTTTTTCCAGTTGATGTTTCATTAGAGACATTACTCTGTGGTGTCCAGTAATGTTCTGACATCTGACATGAAAAGTAAAAAATGCCATCAAGGTGACAGAAAAGTTTTATCACTCCACATTTCTACCATTAGATACTAGAGTATAAAAAAGCACCTAAAATACTGACCAAGTGGGTATAAATCCACCCAAACCGTTATTACATCAGGAGATGATTTCATGGAAAATCCACTTCCATTCTAAAGAGCTCAATAAAATGTCGCTTCTTATGTAACTGCTCCTACCTTTCTAACTTACGACACATGTGCTAAGACACTAATTTAGTGCATAAAGGCAGGTATCAACTGTACCAATGAAATGTTTAAAGTCTGAAAATATTTTACGGTCAGTCTTTTCAGTTTAAAAGATTTTTTTCACCCTTGATAAAATATGCTGTTATTGACATTTATGGATAGATGGATAGTAAAAAATATTCAAAATTCAGTTACCTTCTTCTGTAACCACTGTACGGCCCAACTCCAATGGTGGGAATTCTCCTTAAAATACTCCTTAGCAGCAGGACACCTGGTCATTGAAGAATATTTTGGTTAACCCTCTGCTCTCTGTGAAACTGTGGCTTAGGCTACAGTACTTTTCATTCTGGAATACATGCTATTTCTTATTAAAATTCAGTTATCTGTATATTTTTAATTTTGTTGTTTGGGTGGATAATATACTCAAAGGCTTAAACTTCAAAAGATACTAAAGGTAAATATATAGTGAAAAGTTTAATTTTCAGACCCCATTCTATTAAAATTCCAAGTTGAAAAACTTAATGACAAAACTCAATCACAATGTTACATAATACAGAAGCCCTTGGATATAGTCAAATTCATCTTTTAATTCCTGTGATTTGAATGATGTGAAATGAATGAAATTATAGAAAAAAACATTTTTAAATGTGACGTTGGAAAAAAAAAAAAAGTGACGTTGGAGGGCTCCTCTCCTACTTTCATATTTAGAGAACTGTCCTCCATATTTGAAGACAATTCAGGGTGATACTGCCATTAGTGTGTGTATATATTGATGTGCAATGGATATGGAAGGGCACAGAAAGGCTTGTTTGGCTTCTGAATATTATCTTTGATATTTTTACTGAATATCTACTGATGTAAGAATTCATGCATTATTTCAAATGAGTTCAGCATATCTTAAGCTCAAGGAACTGAAGAACAAATTCAAACCTCGAGTTGCTATAATCAAGGATGCTTTCGGCAGAACGTTAAATGATCCCGGAAGTATTAAAAAAAGATGGAAGGAATATACTGAGTCACTGTATCGAAAGGAATTGGAAGACACAGAAGAATTTCATGAAACAACATACGAGCAAGAGCCTATGGTGATGAAAGAAGAAGTTCAGGCTGCTTTGAAGGACATGGCCAAAAATAAGGCTCCAGGAATAGATGGTATACCAATTGATATATTTCAGTTAACAGATGCTGCCCTGGACGTGCTCACCAAGTTGTGCCAAGAAATCTGGAGAACGACCACTTGTCCAACTGACTGGAAGAGATCGATATTTGTTCCTATCCCAAAGAAAGGCGACCCAACCGAATGTGGAAACTACAGAACAATTTCACTGATTTCACATGCAAGCACGATTTTACTGAAAATTATCCAAAAACGACTGGAACAGCACATCAACAGAGAACTACCAGAAGCCCAGGCTGGTTTCAGAAGGGGTCGTGGTACTAGAGATATTGTAGCTGATGTTAGATGGATCTTGGCTGAAAGCAGGGAATACCAGAGGAATGTCTATCTGTGCTTCATTGACTATGCAAAGGCATTTGACTGTGTAGATCATAACAAACTGTGGCTGACTCTGAGAAGAATGGGAATCCCAGAACACTTGATCGTTCTAATGCGAAACTTATACTTGGACCAGGAGGCAGTCGTCAGAACAGAGCAAGGGAACACTGCATGGTTCAAAATTGGGAAGGGCGTACGCCAGGGATGCATCCTATCTCCATACCTCTTCAACCTATATGCAGAACAGATTATCCGGGAGGCTGGGCTCTATGAGGAGAAATGCGGGGTCAGGATTGGTGGACGATTTATCAACAATCTGCGTTATGCGGATGACACAACCCTGCTTGCTGAAACTGAGGAGGACCTGAAGCGCCTGCTGCAGAGGGTCAAGGACTGCAGCCTGCAATATGGATTGAGGCTCAATGTCAAGAAGGCAAAGATTCTCACCACTGGACCAATCGGCAGCATCAGGATGGATGGTGAAGAGATTGAGATTGTACACAGCTTTAGTTTGCTTGGCTCCATAGTCAACAGTCTTGGCACCAGCAGCCAGGAAATTAAAAGGCGCATTGCCATGGGAAAGTCTGCTGTTAGGGACCTCTCCAAAGTGCTGAAGAGCAGTGGTGTCTCTCTGGAGACTAAGGTGCGTCTGATACAGGCCATGGTCTTCGCAATCACCTGTTATGCATCAGAGAGTTGGACAATGACCAAGGAGGATAGAAGGAGAACTGATGCCTTTGAGCTGTGGTGCTGGAGAAGAGTACTGAGAATACCATGGACTGCTAGGAAAACAAATAGATTTGTCCTGGAGAGGGTTAAACCGGGTGGCTCCTTGGAGGCAAGGATTCTGAGGCTCCGTCTAACTTACTTCGGACATGTAGTGAGGAGAGACCGGTCCTTGGAGAGGGACATCATACTTGGGAGGGTGGAGGGACGGCACAGGAGAGGAAGGCCCTCTATGAGGTGGATTGATTCAGTGACTGGGATAATTGTGGTGGGAGTGTCAGAGACAGTGCGACTGGCACAGGACAGAGCGGAGTTTAGGGCTGTTGTACATAGGGTCGCTATGAGTCACAGGCGACTCGACGGCACATAACAACAACAACATAACAATTTCAAATGCGCTCTAGTGTATGTTATATACATTTAATAAGTTAAATGCAGCAGCTGTAGTTCATCACAGCTGTCAATTTTACTTTGATATAAGTCTAGGGATAGCAATTCCCATGCTTAAGAAAAGGCATACATCTGGAGCAGAATAAATGAACTATAAAGAAGGCATGGTGAAAGTCAATGATGGCTGTGTTATATACTTAATAACCTTGAATTATCACACAATCCTTTTTTGTTTGTCAATATACAAAATAAAGGAGTTGAAAAATTTTTCTGCTAAAGTTCTTTCTGGTATCAAAAAGATTCACTTTGAAGTCAACTGGGAAAGTCTGCTATTAAGGATCTCTCTAAAGTACTGAAGAGCAATGGTGTCTCTCTGGAGTCTAAGGTGCATCTGATGCAGGTCAAGGTCTTTGCAATCACTTGTTATTTGTCAGAGAGTTAGACAATGACTAAGTAGGATAGACGGAGAATTGATGCCTTTGAGCTTTGGTGCTGGAGAAGAGTATTGAGGGTACCATGGACTGCTAAGAAAACAAAGAGATTCATCCTGGAGAGGGTTAAACCGGGCTGCTCCTTGAAAGCAAAGATTCTGAGGCTTTGGTCATGTTGTAAGGAGAGAACGGTCCTTGGAGAAAGACATCATACTTGGGAGAGTGGAGGGACAGTACAGGATCGTGATGAGTGTGTCAGAGGCAATGAGATTGGCACAGGACAGAACAGGGTTTAGGGTTGCTGTACACAGGGCCACTATGAGTTGCAAGCGACTTGACGGCACATAATAACAACAACAACAACCACCTGTCCTCAGCTAATACCTCTACGATTCTGCCATGTCACTTTACCATCTGTGACGTGCGACTAATGACAATCCCTAACTTCATGGGGTAGTTGCAAGGATAATCTAATACAGACTAAGACCTTGGGACAGTGCAAAGATAATGTAATATAGGACAAGTCCTTAGCACAGTGCCTGGGCTCCTAAGTGCTCCACAGCTGTACTTCAGAATTTCTCCTCTTGAAAGAGTTTTTTGAAATTAGGGCCCTAGACTATCAAAGAGTAGGTGGCTCTGAGTAAAGGTTTATCGACTACTTACTGTGAGGCCCTCAAAGGCTTTGAATCCTGGTCTCCCCACATAGGGTTGAGTTGTCTAGCTTTCCCCCACAAATTCCAAGAGCGCCCAACTCATTTGCTATACCCTGTCACCTCTTTTCAGATCACCTGAAGAGCCTTTTATAACTTCGAAGAAAACACAATGTGACTAATCAGATTCTTCAGGCTCTAAACAAAGCTGACTCCCCCCCCCCTGTATTTGCCTTATTCAAACAGCATGTCTCCCCTGCATATAAAGTTTGTACTTACTTTTGAGCAAGAGTCACAAGAAATTTGACACACTGGTAGCAGCGACTGCTGTCCACATGATTACTGTGGTGCATCAACGCTAAGGGAAAAGAGGGAAGAAAATTTAACAATAATACACTAACCAGAAAGTACGGCTAAACAACAGTAAGGTCTGTTGTTCTGAAAGTTTATGAATTATATTGCTAAGCAAGTAAAAGCAATTGAAATGATGGTGTTGCTTGATTCAATAGGACTCCCCAAATTCTGATGGTAGAAGCATCTTTACCTGCAGTGGTGGAAGACTGACTACTAAGGGAACTGAAAAGGAACTAAAACTTAATATTCACTGATTATTTATTCACCTAGAGATCGCCAACCTTTCCACATACTGTCCTACTGAAAGAATAGCTGTTATATATCCTTAAGTCTGACAGATGGAACATTATGACAGTTAAATTCAACATGTATTTATTTCCTGAGACCTTGCTGTACTTTAAGGATTACAGATAAGACCTGGTCTCTGCTCTTAAGGAGTGCATAGGGCATGGTGTAAATATTTCAAATCTGAGTGCTATTCTGAATACAGCGCATTATTCCAAAATATGCAGCCTGAAAAGCTGGAGCTATACAATTTTTTTGGCTTAAGCATCATTCTGCAGTATAACACTCAGTAAGACATTCTGAATCTTAACAATTCCACAGGTTTTGAACAGAACTGTGTCACAGAATTTCTAAGGTGAGACATCTTGATGGAAGCAGCCAACCACAGCTTTCTCCTGTAGAGGTGGTGATGAGTTCGAACCACTGACCTCTTAGCAGCCAAGTGCTTTAACTTGTGTGCCATGAGGACTCACGTATTCAAAATAACCAAACCTACTGTTGAGGTTCGATTTTGACTCACTGTGACCCATCATCAGGTTTCTGAAACTGTAATTTTTATAGTGTATCTCTTTTTCTCCAGGGGGGCCACTGAATTAGAACTGGAGCCCTTCCAGTGAGCAGGACAACACATAAAGTACTATGACAACAGGGCTCTTTTCTACAACATAAACAGAAAACCCTTACTGCTGTCAAGTTGGTCTGACTCCCTGCTGACGCTCCCGAGCGGCCGAGACCGAAACTCTAACAAGAGGAGGCTGCCTATCTTCTCTCGAGGAGTCAATGGTCGTTGAGACTGTCAGAGACACCCAGGCTCTCAGCTAACTCATTACGAGAGGCTGTGCCACCAGAGCGCTCCTTTTGTAACATAAGGATGCCCCAAATCTCCTCACACACACCAAAGTCTAAAATGACTCATATTAACTGGAAATAGAGGTGGATGATGATAGGAGTTGGATCAACAGTTTCGTGGGTTGTTTTTTTGTTTTTCATGGGAGATTTTTGGTTTGGTTTTAAACGAAGCTTTCATGAGTGTTGTGTTGTTATGTGCCGTCGAGTCGCCTGCGACTCATAGCGACCCTATGTACAACAGCCCTAAACTCCGCTCTGTCCTGTGCCAAT